AATAAGATTAGAGTGTGCAATTTTGTGACGTGATTACGATTCTGAGGCAACGAAACGTTGGAAAGAGGTGAGGAGGTGAAGAAGGAGAAAAGTGTACATGTGTATGTGAGCGTGTGTTGTTTATGATTCTCTAGTCCGGTGCGGTGGTGCCGTCGTAGTGAACAGCAGCAACAGCAATCCAATTCGTATTCTCAATCCAGAGATATAGAGGATTCCAACAAGAGAGTTACGAATGTTGTGGGTGCGAGTGAGATCGGAACAACACCATCTATGTGTGCATCATCATCATCACTATTACTGTATACAACAAGTGCAAGCGGTAACTGGATTAAAACATCAACAACAACAACAACATCGACAACTGAGCATCTGTGAAAACAAAAGGGGTTAGGAGTGCGTAAATGGAGCTGAAACCGCCTTCCACATCGGCCATCTGATCTTCGGTGAGTCCTTCCACCACCACCACCACCACTACTTTTCGCTTCATCTTTCAATAATTTAGGTGAAAGCAAGGACAGACACATTCATTCATATACATATATAATTAAATGATGAAGGGGGGGCGGCCGTATTTTGGTGGGCGCACCCTGTTTCGCCGCTCCCCTCACCACCATCTCTCTCTCTCTCTCTCCCGCCCGGCTTCTGAATTCACGACGAACTTGTTGACAGATGCGGCATTCCACATACTGCTGCCGGCCACTCTCCATTGGTGGTTGCATGCAGCACACAAAAATGCGACCACCCTTAAGAAACCACAAGTCCCTTCACTCATCGGGCGCCAAATTCGAAATTAACAAAAAAAAAATAATAAAATTCAATACACGTCACAATTTAACAATTATTAACAGTAACGTTCGTCTTTGCTGGCGCAATCAACAAATAATTTACTTGTTACATTCCTCGCTACACTTTCTCTTCCATTCTGTTCCTCATCGATGAATATAGTATACTAATTCTATGTTTCCCATTTGCAACAATTTCGTAAATTGGATTGACAGGAAATTTATGTTATTCGCTTTTCGAAGGTTCTTCCGTCTGCTTTTTCCCTCCGTGCCCGTCCTTCGCGATTCGAGAGGCGATTGTTTTCGTTTTGGGACATTTGCCAAGTCTCCATGACTACCGCAACTCGTTTTCCGTACACTCTTAATTGATTTGTATATCTTCTCCTCGGTGGCTGTCTTGATATCAATCATGCTTTTTAGACCGGTTAAAACAGTCACTCAATAATTTTGAAGGTCCTTTTCGTTTCATTTCTCTGCCCTACGCGTGATTTACGAATATATGTCAACGAGCACGTCGTCCTCAGCAATTGTTTTAATCCGACCAACCTAATTGTGCAAACACGATTTTGTTTTGTGATAGTATCAAGGATTCTTTGATTATTACGTGTTCGAATCAGTTTTTTTTTTTGTAATATTTGCTCGACAAAATCTGGCTGTCCTCGTCTCAGTTGCTTTTGCATTTTCAAATAAGATGTGGGGGTTTCTTCCATCCAAATAAATTTGCGTAGCAACATTATGTTAGATAATTTAAAACAATGCGTGACAGTTATCATTGTTTCCCTAGTAACGAGTTAGTTATGGTCTATTTGTTTTTAGTTGAATTCGTTGATCGAGACAAACGATGATCATTGCATGTTTGCAAATTCCTTCTTCTTCTACCGTTATTATATAGATCCGAGACAGTTACGAAGGCAAAGTATTATATTTGCATGTCGTTGCTGGCGAGTACGTAACTCGCGTATCTCGGCTTTTAACATTTGACGTATTTATGTTTAAATAATTGCACTTCGATGTGGTTGTCCTTAGCAACTGATTACGTTGCCTCGATTGTTTCTGTTTTCAATGTATCCTGCATAATGGTCGAACCTCGGCCAAGGTGATTGTTCGTCGGTTCTTGTTGTTGTTTTGAGGAGGGCCGGGTGTGGTGGTATTTGGTCGTTCGCTGCTCTCTTTTTTTTTCCACTTCACTCTTCTGTTGAAGGTTCATATCGGCATTTACGTCAGAGGCTTTGTTACGACAAATACAGAATTGGTAATACGTAACGACGACATTTGAAATGTTTTATTTCATTCATGGGTAGAGGGTAGAAAGAAAGAAGTATGTAGTAATTGTAGTGTTTAACTTGTGTTAAACGTCCCTTCGAGGATTGCGGGGTCTTCTCATAAATTTCAATTCGCTTTTATGATTCGATGTGGAAGCTTACTATGTAATATGAACGTCGATTTAATTAGATGTGGGCTTTGAATGACGAAAGGGGGGTCCGGGCCCTCTGTTCTCTTATTTGATACTTGCTTTAATAATTCGAATTACCCTCTTTCTTTCTTCTTATCAATTTCATTGGTTTTTCATTGCTTAAGATAAAGTTAAATTACGTAATTATATCGAATCGAAACGGTTTTCAATTGTATTTTCTCGCAGCAAGAAAATACGTCGGTTTTGAAAAGATAAAAGTATTCTTGCAACTTGGCGTATTTCTGTGAGTCATCATTTCCCCTCGTTTTTGTTTCTCTATCTTTCCACCCTTCCTTTCGGGCAAAACAAACGAGACGGACAAAAAAAATCAGCGTTCGAGCACGGATAATAATAATACAAATCCTAGAAGTCTGCGTTGGCATAAAGTGAGGTCGATTTTCTTGGAAGCGAAATCGTTTCGGTCTTTTATCCCCTTCACCTCTCTCACCACTTTACCGTTTCTCTCTTTGTTCGCTTTACGAGATGAGTTAATAACATTGCTGATCCGCAGGTTGTTGTTGTTGTTGTCGTCTTCATCGTCATTATTGCTTGAGCAAATAGACTTTCGTGAAATACAAGAGAAATTCAGATTCCCACACTCGACAAACAAAGTCCATTGCCAATCGCAAACTGTCACTGATTCACTTTTATACACATCTTATTAAATACATACTCTTATTTTTCGATTTTTACATCTTTATACTGATCTTTCCCATGATCATTATCGTCTGTCTCTGGAAAGAAGGGAATTCTCTTTTGAAAGTAAACGAAAGAGTTGGTGTTGGAGGGATTAACAGCCTTGACGCAATGTGTTTTGTTGTTATTATTATTATTATCATCATCATCATTTTTGGACGTTCAGATAAGCAGAGCTGGAAATAGTACACCACTTCAGTCGAAGCATGATAAATTCATGACTAATCCTAAGAGAGCGAAAGGCGCGCAGGCCTCGACGACCTAAAATGGGAAAAGTCGACGAAGCGCGCAATACATTCCGTCTTCTGTTTAAAACAAATAAACCGTTTCCATAACATAATAATGTCGTTGACATGGTAATAACACAATTTTCCATTTTATCAGAATTGCATGATTTGCTGTTTAAATGTCAATAATATTGTTGTCATGGAAACTATCGAATGATTATTTCGATAAATCCGTTGTTTCTGTAGCGGTTCGAAATGTCAAGGATCGATTAGTTTCTTAGCGTTAAGATATAATATATCGAATTAAACTGTGTGGCATTATCACGTACCATATCATCATCGTGCGGCGGCGATAATGGGCGATGATGATGATGATAACTTTATTATCCAATTAAAATGATGTTTGAACGCAATAAATGATCAATTTTCGTTGACAGTTCGATTGTTTTTCGAATGTATTGCGATCGAAAATATGGTAGTGGTCTTAAGCTACGTACAGCTTCTCGGGTAAAATAAGTGTGTCAGTCGGGCTTTTCAAATGCATATGCAATCTGTCGGTCGTGTCTTTCTTTCTTCCTTCCTTTCTGTGCGCGCCAAAGACTATCTGGGGAGGTAAGAGAAAACGCACCGCCGTCGCACTTCAACATTTTTGTATGTATGCCCGAGTGTGTGTGTGTGTTTGTATATATTTCTTTTTTAGAAAGTAGGTGCTTCGCTCGAAAATTTTCACACATGAGCTCAGGAGAAACTCTGCTCTCCTCCGTGTGCGAGACTCTCCAACGATGTGTCTCTTTTTTTATATATATATAAATATTTCAAAAGGAATTTCACTCGGTTAATCAATTCCCCAGCTTGCACGAAGGGGATGAGAAAACTTGTCTCAACTTAATTGATGCATGCATCTCCGGCAGATGGAGCGTATCGTCTTTTTTTTTTTGGTTCTTTCGGTGTTATATATGGATGTAGTATATGCGTAGGAGCAGCACTCGAGGCGCACACGTGAATCACGTTTAACAGAGATCCGTTCGGAGAGTGTGCATATATATATATTATTATTATCAAGGTGAGATGAAAATCGAATGCAATAAGCAAATCTCCGCGAATGAATATACATGCGCGCACGTGACTTGGTGGAATGGCATGCCAAGGTTGGCAGTTCTTTGGTTACGAATAGGGTTGATAGTTGGTGGTGGTGATTATCACGCAATTTGAATTCAATGAAAACGCTGTCGTTCTTCTGTGAATCGGTTTTTGTTTTGCTCTTTGGAAATTCGGAAGTCGTATCCAGTTGTGGGACACGCGAGGCGTCGGCGACGGGTTCGATAACCCGGCCCGAAGGAAAACAACGAGAGAGAGAGAGAGAGAGGGGTGGGAATCGGAGAAACTTCAGAAAACATATGTTCTCGCCGTCGTTGCCAACTTGTTAACATGTTAATGTCCCTGAAGCAAGCATCTTGTCAATTTAAAAATTGAAAGTGGATATTCCCGATTCTAATTTTGGTATTATTGGAGATGATTCACTTTCGTTTCGTTTTCTATGTTTGCAACTTGCACTGTTCGTTCCTCTCCATATGATATGATGACGTCTGTCGCTTTTTGGCGTTTTCAAATTGAAAGTCGTTTATTTCCGCGATATATATATATCAACAGCATCACCCCTCACCCAACGAAACGTAATTGGAAGCTCTCGTAATTGGTCAAAGATATAATAGATAATTGTTTATTTGTGTGTGCATTATTAAAAAAAAAAAAAACGGTACGAAAGTGGACTTTGCCCTTCCACAGTTTATGAGTTGAGAGTTTGCAAAAGCATGTAGTAAATATACATTAGATCTAATTTTGTTTTCATGTTGCAGGTCCCACTCCACTCGATATACTGGGTGTTTCCTCGGAGAAGACGACCGATGAATTAGCCGAAAGCAAGCAATATAACACCACCACCCATCCCCATTCAAACTATCACCAATCATCATCCTTCATCACTACTTTATTCTCGTCTCTGACTTCCCATCCACCCACCATTCGTACATACCGGATCTGCGATGAAGGAGGGCCGGAAGTTGACCGTCTTCCGGGACAGCGTGCCCGCAGTTCACGGAAAACCGAGCGCCACGCCGACAGTTCGCGTTAGGCTCAGCAATCACCAAAGAAACCTCAGTCTGGATTTTAGGTTCGTAAAAGAAAATGTATTAAATGTTCTCTCGTCTCATCAGAACGAATCTCGTGCAAATATTTACACTTTCGAAATGAGAGATTGCGCCAAATGCAGAAACCAAACGCCACGTTCACCGGAAGCGTCCTATTATATCTATCAGATTTGTTGTTTCGTAATATCTGCAGTTTTAGTTAGTTAACCCAAATTGCCGCCAAATCGATTTCGCAAACAAATACACACACACATTCTTGATCTCTCTGCAAGATACGAAACATTTCTTTATTTCAATACGCTCCTCCTCTCTTCTTCTCAAATCTTCTTAGTCTTTATATATTCGAATTTGAGAGTGCAGCAGCAATTGGTAACAAACAAATTGAAACTAACCACAGACGACTTTTTATTAGTAAACAATTAGATGTTCTTCCTTGTTATCTAATCTAAGCCTAAAGATTAAAACTCAATTAAACTCTTATCATCGATGTTTCGCTTATCTCCGAATGTTTTCGGACACTAAAAATCGTTTCCAACTTTAAATTTGAATGCGTGCAATTCAGTTCGTTTGCTTCAATTAGTCAAGAAATGTGCACGTTATCGATCGCTGCACCAGTTTCGATAATATTCTATACGTAACTCAAGTTTTAATGTAAGTCTGTTGTAATTACTTTGATAACTTTCAAAACTATTGTTTACTATCGAAGTTTACGCAACTTTTCTATTAATAATAATTTCGTTACTTATTTGGATGTAATTGTGTAACTGTTAACTGCTAAAGTGAATAACTTTCAAATCGAATTGTCGTCTGTTATTTGAATTATCGAACTGAATTCAATTAGTTGAATGAAAATTCGGTTGATGCGTTTGCGAATGAATCTGTGTTGTTGTTGTTGTTGATGTGTTTTAAAGGAAATGCATCGGCATCACTTTTCTCCTCCGGAAGTCGTCGCGATGAGATATATGTGTGTGTGTTTGTGTGTATTTGTTACGTGATTTCCGACGACTTCCCTTCCTGCCTGTCTCGATGAATGAACGAAACCAAATCTGAATCATTCTCAGCCCTCGCCCCCCAAATCGTATTTGCTGGTTTTTGATAACGTGATTGACGATGAGTGGAGAAACATGTGTTTCTTGTTTTTCTTCCCTCACCTCATTTCCAGCAGCAGCAGCTGTAGTACGTTTAAATAAATAAACTTAAAGAAGCCAGGAAGGTTCGAATCGACCTTCGGGGTTTTCTCGTTCAGTTCTACAATTGCATAACACTTGTTTTTTGTGTGTGTATTGATTAAACTTGGATGAGCACTCTACAGAGTACGAGAATCGCTAATGACGAACTCTCCAATGTTTTTTCGTATTGGTGCAAAGAATGTACGATAATTTAATTTTGATCCAATTACGAGTGAAAGCAAGTTGGCAGGCGCAGCGCATAACCGATTTCCTTTTTGCGGATTTCCTCCTTCCTTGAATTCGTGTTTTTTTGTTGTTGTTGTTAAAGTTTGTATTTTGGAAATACCGAAATTCTGTTTCATAACGCTCCATCCGATTGTTACGTACATACCTATACCTATCCACTTAGCANACGTGCATTCACCATTTCGCAACCTTCTCGTTTTCTGCTGGTATCAATGAACTTTTGACCCGCGATTCTCTTCATTCATTCATTCCAATTCCGTATGCGTAATGATCGCCCCTATCGTCAATTGCCGCGTTACGTATACGCCTCTCCTCCATCCGTCCGTCGAGTGCGGTAATTAAAATTCCTCGGATAACTCGACCACACCAAGTCTACTGTACATGATGATGATGATGTAGAGTGGAAGTGAGAGGGAGAAAGATGAATAAGTATGTGTAATGCTTTTTAAATTGTTCTTCGCATTCCGGAGACGATGATGATCATTACATGTTTGTGAATTGCGCAGGCCAGCAAGTCTTGTTTATTGTTATTATCATCATTGAGACAGGCGGAAAGATGTTCAGATTGTTGTAATCTTAATGCGTCACCACCAATTGCTGTGAAGGTGATTGTTGTTGGTTACGCAAGTGGAAGTCGGAAGGGAAGAAATGGATGGATTTTCTTTGATTCGATTAACAGAGACTGCAGAAATATTTGCTTCGATGTTGGATCGGCGTCGCGTGGGGAAATACAGTTAGTCACAAGAGAGTCTAAATGTATACGCGCGCCTCTACTGCCGCTGCGACGATCCATAAACCGTTTGCGTTTCGTTAATAATTCCTCTTTTTTTGCGTGTAGCCTCGAAATCAATTACATCTTCATCTACGGATAATGCTGCGAATGTTGTGAGTGTTACCGTTGATGCGGTGTGAGAGAATATAATTGGATTTCGCGTTTGTTTTTGTTGTTGTTATCTAACCCACATGAAAAGTGAAATTAATTAATATCGATTCTCGTTTCTCGATGACGACGTACGAATGCGCCGCGTTGCGTTCTGTCTGTTTATTATTATTATTTTTTGTATTAAAATTGTTTGTATTTGTTGTTGTCAGGTCGATGGGGATTCCGCTGCCACCGGTGACGCAGGTGACGACGGGAAATGGCACGCACATGACGCTGCACCACAGGAACAGGAGTCTGGATTCGGCACTGCAGAGGATCCCCGAGGTCGATGTGACGCCGAGTCCCGAATGCGAAGTCGTCATCGTCTCCTCGTCGGAGGTGATGTCCTCCAACTGCCAACAGACGGGCATCGCGAAGACGCAGCGCGACGAGCTTGCCAGTCTCGGATCCGACGATTCCGGCATCCTCTGCGGCTCGGACACCGGGTCGACGAGCGATGGAGGAGGTGGCGGTGGAGGAGACGGCGGAGGAGGAGGAGGTGGCGTTTGCAGCAGTGCAACACGCGAATCGAGCGTCGAGTTTCTCTCGAATAACCAGAGCCAGGAGAGCCTGGACGACGTCGTCGGTGATGATGAGTGTTGCATTGTTAAAGGACAATGTAGAAGGACTAGTGATGTCG